TTTGGTTCCTCCTCACAAACCTCCGATTTCGAAATACTCCTTCCTCTATCTCCTTCTTTCAATTATTAAATTTCCCTTTCTTTCGCCAACAACGATTCCGACGTTGCCTCTATCGGTTAGGATAAGAGCCCTACGAGCTCTCTTGCAACTTCCTCTTCCTCTCTTGAGCATGTCCTGGAACTTTTACCCATTTCATCTCGTTCTGCCACTCATCCACCTACCTCAGTTCCTTCTTCCTCTCAGACTGCTCCTTCCACTCTTCGACCTCTCTGCCTGGTCGACGATTCTGATGAAGAGGTTGACGAAGCAATTGAGATCAACTCTCATTCTCGATCTATCTCAAATATTGCCACTGCTTGAAAACCTAGTACTTTCACGTACATGCGTGACGACTAGGTAGACCACTTTTTGACCACTGTGGCCTACCCGACGACTGGTAATATGTTTCCGCTCTCTCTTTGGACTTCTACAAGCACCCTCCTCCTAGTTATTATACCTTCTTCCGCAAGCAGATGGAACTTGAGCTTAGATTCCCTCTAAATTCACATATCGTTGACCTTTGCAAACTTTTCAAGCTCCCCAACAACAAGATTTCTCCTAAGGGAGTTCGACACCACATTGTATACTCCATCTTCCTTCTATAGATTAGGTCACATCAACCTCGATTTCTTCTTTTACTCTTGTATAGCCAAAACCAGAAAAAGGCTATGTACCTTGCTAACGTAATAAGGCTAAATTTTTTGTTGATATCCCCTCAAATATACCAAAATGAAGGACAAAATATTTCTTTGTTCGACCTCCTACACCACTCCCTTTCAGTTCGACCACCTGAGTGAAACCGTCCTTGTCAAATACGACAATCATACTCGCAACTAGGCTTACGACCTCATGATCAATTATGGGAACCAAGCACCTATCTTTTCCCATACCTTGGTCGATAATAACCAACTTTTCTTCCACTGCGGTCTTTTCAAAAGATCTTACCCTCCTCTCACCGAGGAGGAAATTGGTAGACATTAGCCTGAATTGTTGTTTTGCATACTTAATACCTTGTCCTACTATGATGTGATTTGTTCCTTTGCTTCTTTTCAGGAAGTCTTGTTGGGAAAGACAAACCAACAACTTCCACCGCAAGGGAACAAGATAAACCTTCTTCCACCAGACCTATGATTTCTTTTTCTCGGCCTCAGGGATCACCTGCTACTCCTTCGGCCCATACGACCAAGGTGCAACAACACAAAAAAATGCTAAGCTCGCTGTTAGGTGGCATGACCTCCAAGAAAGTCTCCGTCGATTCAGGAGACGTTGAGATCGCCATTCCCTCGACCTTCACCACTAACACCGATGGCGTTGCCATCATGTCATACCTGGTGAAAATCCATCACACCACCGAGACCCAGTGATAGGAGTCGAACTTACGTGGTCAGAGCGACTCTGCTGCAAGGGCACTGGCTCAGGTATATCTTCCTTTTTCTTTATGACCTCTTTCTGATAAGCAAATAGATATTTTAAATCCGGTTAACCTTCTATATCTTTTATCTGACGTAGTCCTCTTCTGGATAAGAATCTAAACGAATCGAGATCTGTGGTGAAGGGCCTCTTGGATGAGATCAAAAACTGCATGACGAGAACCAACAACTTCTAAAAATCAGGTTCGAGCTGAAGCAGAAGCACGCTAAGGTCGGTGGTCGACACAAAGACGACCTCTTAGAGAAAGAGAAAGAGAAAGAGAAAGAGCTAGCTGGCGAGCTTTCTCGTAGGGAAGAAGAGGTCAAGGTCGCTGAGAACATCGTCCACATTCAAGGTCGACAATATGTCTTCACCTTCCGCCTAGGTGGCATCTTTCTATATGCTTTCAAAGAGCATGTTGTTGAGGATTTTTGTCGATCTCCTGCCTTCGTTGCCAAGCTAGGCCCTGCTGCTAATTAGTTTTTTACCTTGGTGTTGGATGGAGCCGAGGAGCAGTTACGAGCTGTCGGATCCTTGGGGACAATCAACTGTGATGCCATCTAGAAACACTTCATCATTACCCGACGGTTGTGTGGGTGAGCCTGGGCTACCCTTCGAGCACATTTGGTGGTCGAAGAAGTTCGAGCGAGCCCTTCTTCGTGACAAGATTCAGAAGAAGTTTGCACGACCGCCTCATGTTTCGACCACTACAGCACCAACTTCGACACCTAACACAACTGTGGGGACGATTCTTAAGTCAACAGACGACCCTTTCATCAGCTCAGGAAACGACCACTGCGGTAGCTTCAAGCTCGACCACGGCTCCTCCTTCAACTTAAACTGATCGATCTCCTGTTGTAATTTGACCTTGTTTTGCCTTTGGATAATTTTGTAATAGTATTGTTGTAACTATTTCGACCATCATGGTGTGTAATCGTTATATTTTTGAATGAATTTCTTGCTTCTCCATTTCTTTTACATTCTAGTCGTATATTTTCGGCTTTCATACTTAGAAACATTTTTGCACTCACAATAAGGATCATAACAAAAGGGATTCCCACCGTGGTTTTTGAACTACTCGACTTGTCGCTGAGGTTTCCAAAAAACGAATATCATATATAGAAACATGTCGCTGTTTTGATAAGTCATCTTAGTTGATCGATCTGCCACCAAGGTGCCAAAAAATGGTTCCATTTTGTATCCTAACTTTGTTATTTGTTGTATGTGTTTTCCACCTTCTACTGTGATTGCCAAAAAAAAATAAAAAAAAAAAAAATAATAATAATAATAATAAAAAAGTTGTGCTTAAATCACAACTCATGTAAAATTTGTAACTTTTTTTGCAAGCAAACTACTTCAAAAGTTCAGCCCTCCCAAGTATAAACTATCTCGGTACATTACCATTTTGAAAAATTTCCCCACATTCTTTATTGAACTCATCTGTTTTAAAGAGTTTAAAAAACACCCTTATGACTTATGATTTGTTTTAGAACAAAAGCAATGCCAAGAATTATTATACAATAATAATAAGATTATGATAAATCAACAATTCAATTCCCATCCCCATACTTTTTCCTCTTATTTTTTCTCACTTTTCCCCCACTTTCAGTAGCAAATTAAAAAACCATAATCTTTCTTCTGATCTGTAGTTCTTTTCACAAAAATGAAGTCCTACAAGAGAGAAATTAAGCAATGACACCTCCTTCAAAGGAGACCAACAACAGGTTCAGGAAAATCCCCAAAACCCACATACATCATTTTTTTATCAGCCAATTAACTTAATGATCAGATACCGTCTCAATCTTGGGGTCGATTAACTACCCATTAGAAACCGGAAAACATCGCCTAATGAAATGATTCCTTCGACATGCTTACTTCCAGCTTCAACAACAACAATCCTTCTCACCCCTGAAGAATAACAAAGGAAAAAGAAAAATATAAAAAATGAGGTACATAAATAAAGAGGATCACTTGTACAGGACCTTTAAGAAAAAAAAAAATAATAATAATAATATTATAAGATTGAGGCAAAATTGCGTTTTTAATCCTGTTGGTTTAACTCGATAGCATTTTTAGTCCCAGAATTCCAACTTTTTTCTTTTCGATCTTGTAATTTAGTATTGTACTGCAATTTTAGTCCTTTACAGATTGAAATTGCAACAAAATTTGAAATTACAGGACTTAAACTGCTAATCAAAAATTCATCCCAAAGATTTTTTATTAGCAATTTAAGTCCTATATTTTAGAATTTTGTTGCAATTTTAGTCATTTGATGACTAAAATTGCATTGAATTTTTAAATCATATGACCAAATAACAAAATGTTCAGATCTTTGGACTAAAACGCCAGGACTAAACTTGCAACTTTGCCTAAGATTGACCTAAATGCATTTTATGGAAGGCATTGACAACGAAAAAGAAAAAAAAAATGACCTGGTTGAGATAATTTCTCTAGAACCTTATGTAGAGGGTCAGAACGCAAGCACATGAAACATCTCTGGGTATTGGACCCGTATGGTGAAAATGGGTCATCCCTGTACTGCAATGCCTATGATTTTAAAATAGACAAAAGAAATAAGGATAAGGAATACTGAAGGAGAAAACTGAGATAATATTTGTTTTCAATATTAAATGTTAGTTAATAAAAAATGGTTGAGTTAAAAATGATTGAACTTTTTGGGTTTAATTTGTATCCAAGCATGCTCTAACCTCGTGCACAGTTCCTTCAATATGCAGAATAAATATTATGGAACGAGTTATGCATTTTAAATGTTAGAAAGTAAAATAACCTCCTTCACATTTATGGAAGTGCCTTCAATACGCAAAGATAAATATTCTAGAATGAGTTATGCATATATAGAATACAAGCTAATCAAATAAGCGTGCTTACCTGATGAATAGTTGTTTCATCAAGATTAATATGCGCATAGATCTTGTCTTTAGCCAGAGCAGTTATGTCACTGCCAACAACAAATGAAAAAAATATTCACATGTTTGTATCTCCAAAATGTTATAAGAAAAAGAACGAACATGTCGTGGTACAGGTAACAGCATAATACTAACCTCCGAGAATAAACATCCAACAAGGAGTCGTTATCATCAACAATCGGGATTGAACTAACTTGTGCTGCAAATTAAAACATTTATGCAATAACGAGATGACTAGGGATTAGTTACGTCAAATACTTCGTAAAATATTATGCATTTATAATAAATCATTTGAAATAATTCTCTTCGCATAAAACTATTTTGAAAAATCTACACAATCTACAGGTGAAAAACCCTCGGAATTTGATATATATGATATATCATGTCCACAGCCACCACCACATCAACAGAACAAGCTCCTTCCCACTGATAAAGAAAGTGAAATTGACCGTGTTGTCAGCCATTACAATGACAGGAAACCAGTTCTCCCTATAATTTAAAAACGTAGCCTCGTGCATCAAAAATCACTTAAACCTCCAATAATTTGAATAAGGATCATTTTCAAGACAAAAAATATTATAGTAAAACTTCCTCATGAGCCATTCCAGATCCTTTTGGAACTCAAGAGCAGAAAAAAAGAATTTGGGTTACGATCTGTTGTAAATATAAGTATTAGCATAAAACTAGATAAATTTGTTTCTTGAGAATAAGCTACAAGAGCTTCAAAATGCACTCCAGTCCGGAGTAAACCTGGATACCTTGAATTAGTAAATTTAGAGCGTCACTAAGCGAAGAACTTGGTCTCAACATTGCCAGTGGCTGTCGATTTGCCTCCCCAATTTTCGGAACCCACGTCCCCAACGGAATTGCATAGATTGGCAACTGAAGTATTGGCAATGAGCTCGGGGAATGCTTAAAGAATCGGCAAATACCTGTGTAGCAACTACAAATGTTAGTTATGAATATAAGTACTGACCTCTATTCCCCATATTCAGTAAAGCCCACGTGAAAGTGTTCCCAGGGCAAGCCACCCAATCATCTTTACTTGCATTATTATATAGTCCTTCCGTTTCATAATAAGACGTGACAATTTTTACGGTAAGAAAATAGAATCATTGTTACTGGGAAAGTAAAAGGTAGATGTATTTTTTCAGTATACCTCTAAATTAAATCATTGTGAAATTGAACAATCCAATTCTATTGGCCGTCGTATAATTTAGTAAGAGCACCAATGGAACTTAACACGATAAATACTTCTATGTAAAGTAACAAACCTATCTTTTGTGAAATAAAAAATAGCAAATTGGCCCTATCTTTGTGGAGAGGAGAGTACACACATACAAACACAAGCATTGTCTCCCCTCCTAATTGCAGATTCAATTTGCAAAACAGGAACAAATAACATGCGGGTATTCATATTTCAAATGATCGATGTTGTTTTGTTGTAATGGACAAGAATACTTCTTGAACTGAACTCTGATATAGACACATATTAGACATAATACTCACATTTTAATATCCCAGAAAGTGAAGCAAGATGCAAGAGATGTGGGTTTGAGGCATCTGGTGAAGACGAATAAAGGATGGGAACAGTGGCCACACCATTTTGCAGTATCTTCAAAGCAACATCCTTTAGACTGTCATCTGGCCCAGCCTGCGAAAGTATCATTAGCTTGAATTAGATAAGAACCTTATATCTATAAGTTAATGTTATACAGCAAGAATACAGTTCGCCACTACACCATAAGGGCATTCAGGTCTCCTTTCTTCTTCTTTTTTTCCCTTATCTGTTGAGTAGAAACATTATCAAAGATACTAATAACATTATGAAACATTGTTATTCACACCCATCTTCCTTAAATAATCATCATATAACAAATCTTTCTTAAGTGACTGCAGATTCAACAATTTTATGAATTAAAAGATATAAGATTAACACACGCTCAAAAGCAATAGAAGAATAAACAAACATAAAGCTGAATTGTAGCTCTATATACAGATTAAATCTCATTAGAACGTACAAAATCAATACATATTTTCCAAATATGCAGATGTCCATAATGTAAAAGAAGTGTGCCCATAATCCACATCCACGAACTATAATTGTTTTGGTCCGAGCAGCAAAATTTAGATACAAACATTCAACAGAATCGCCACATGGATATGATGACTTACTTGCACAAGCTGTCTGGAACCTCCTTGTCCACCAATTTGACTATTCAGATAAGACTTCGCTTCTTTCCAAGCAGATATAGTATGTGTCTCAAGTTCTTCCTCGGTCAAATTGGATCCATTACTGCCAAGCTGCCGCAAAGATAAAAGCATATGGTCAAAATAGAGACTTCGGTTTTGTTTAACACTCTACTTTGAAGGTAGCAATATCATACAAAAAGAACATCCACAAAGATATATACAAGAAACAAAGTCCAGCAAAATTCAGTAGTCCATTAACAATAATGTCAGGTCAGATTACATTGCAGGTCATTCATTATCGTGTCACATTCAATAAGATCAGACACGAACTCTTCTTGTCATGTTAATGAAGATGAGTTGTGAAACATTATCAAGATTCTCAAACAATCTTAAGTGATTAGGAGAAAGATGTCCCAACATCTTTTAGACTTCTAATAAACACTGTGATCAAGTATAATGAAGGCACCAAATGTATAGTAGAATTGGAGGCGACCACAAAATAAAGCATGTATACAAATAACGGGGAATAATTTCTGGGACATTTCTGAGAATTTCGACACAAGATTGAAGTAATTCAGGAGACCATTTTAAATGAAAGCAAGTTATTTGATAAAACAACATCAATCAGGTAATAAGAAACCCAGTCGATGATTTAATTCACTGAGGAAAAAGGAAAGGCAGAAGACTCATTTCATCTACCTCTCTCATAATCAGAATAAAGTCCAATGCACTGATAACTCCAACAAATTTTCCCTTTGCGAAGTTCCACAAGGGCGCCATACAGATACCCTGAAAAAACAACAGTTGGTTCAGAACAATTATAAATATACTAAAAACTAATTAGATGAACGAAGAGCATCAGAAAGAAACGACAGGCTACATATGCAACAATCACAATGCCTTGCCCGGGCAAGGTTAAATGTGCTTCTGTTACTACAGGAATTAAGAAACAATTTACAAATCTAGATTATGCAAAGATAATTTGCAATAATAGATTTAAATTTTAATTAATAGCAAAGATACCTGTTCATGAAGAATATGAAACGCTTGTTTCACAGGCAAATCAACATCCAAAGCAATAACCTGCACAAAATCAACCAAATACATTGAGCTCAGCCAGAAAATTAATAGGAAAAGAGAAAGGACCATCAATACCTTTCCAGACTCAGGTAGCAACTCATAAGCCTTGTGTGTAGACATGAATACAGCAACACGGTGCCTGGATATCTCTAAATCTGCCTCTGATAATGTCGGAAAGGCCTCCGGAGATCTTCCATCTGACTCACGAACCTGTGTACAAGTTTTATTATCAACATAACAGACTACATTATATTATTGATGATTACCAATGTAGATGCAAAATATTTTTCTCTTTATGTAAAGCAAATTTAAAGATGGCTATCAATTAAATAAATTTGGTAGACAACAATGCCTTAAGTGTAAGAAGATTATGAACTGCACTTAAATTTCGTTTGTAACCTAATATGCTTCCATATTTCGTTTACACAATCATGAAGTTGAAGGCACAAGCCAAAATTAATTCTAGGGTTTTCATTGGCACGTGCTCAGGAATGGTGACTAAGCAGGGTAAGATTTAACAAACATGGTATGCAAAAAACTAACTTAGGGAGCATCGAGCATGAAAGGTTTTCATTGTTTAATTTTTTATTCTCTTATTACCACTTAAGTTTACATAAAAAAAATAAAAATAAAAATAAATTCAAACTTCTACATGAGAAGAAATTAAAAATAAGACACCTGTGGGATAGTACTGATGAGTATATTGAAAATATACCATGCGCTGGAAGGCATCGTCAACATCCATGCTTGAGCCCAGCACTGGAGGCACATAATCAGGTTCCCTAGTTAAGAGGATAGTGTTCACTGTTCCAATGTTGCTACTAATGAAAGGCTGGCGCTCATCGTGCCTCCATTCACCATCAACCATAAACTTGTACTGCCAGAAAGAATAAAAGGGTGCTTCATAAAAATGATTTTGAATTCCACGAGCTATTGTTCCATTGAAGTCATAAATGTCTTTCTGACAAATTCATGTGTAGAAAATATTCCATTCTGACTCTATACTCTGATATAGTTGAACAGAGTGAGTTCTCAGAAATACATTTTCTGAAAACATTATTCTCCAGCCAAAAGCATATTACTGTTTAGTCAGCCAACGACATTAGTTTGTAATGAACCACAGTTACATGCTTAAGTGTACAAAGTTGTGCAAATGTTTATGAGCAAAAATTAATGTTCTTAATGGCGGATGGCGGTTTGCCAAAATTCTGTCATAGTGACCGCCATGGCTGCCGCCGTGGTGGCCTATGGAGCCGCCATGACTGCCATCCTTCACAATATTTTGCACGGCGGATGGTCAAAAATCCACCACGCCATACTGCCATGGCAGCCATTTGACAACACTGGCAAAAATATCTAAAAGTAATTTTTCATATCAGGGGATTTAAAAAAAAATAATAAAAATGTATATAATACAATGGGTTTGTATTCGGAAAGGTAAAACTAGCTTAAAGGTAGGAACCACGAGCTTGTAACCCAAGCGGTACTGTCCACCCTTTATAAGGGTGTTGAATTGTTTGATACAAGGCTTGATCCTATGCCTCTCAATTTCTTAAGTATTTAGAATTCTCTCCCCTCCAATCCGCCTGTAACTAAAAGAAACATAGTATAAGGTAGGATATCAAATCAAACAAATATTAAAGAAACAAACAACTCTCACTGTACACACGCATCCATGTATTTTTTTTCTGAGGGTAGTTTACATCTACTTCTCAAGATGTGGACATGCTAATTATCTAAATTGTACACAAGTTTAGAAAGTGTTCTGAGATGCCGAGGCACAAAGACAGGCGTCGGACAGGCCCACTGCCTAAGCAGGCCTGAGTGGAACTGAACAAGGAGTGGATACGACTAGGTGGGGACCAATATGAAGGAAACACAGCGGCAGCCAAGTTAAGTCTCACGCCTATGACCTATCCGGATATTTTGAACAATGGTTCTAGTTATGACATGAAATTATAATCATAAACGTAATTAGAGAATATTAAGCTTTCTTATAACAAACAGAATCTTGAAGATCATTAAATACGCTGCTATTATTCTATCAAACTAGTGTATGCACTTAGTATCTTGCCACAAGCAGCGTATGCGTCAATGTGTCTTTATTTTTATGCTAATTATTAAAGTAAGAAATTTCTTGCACTTATGCAGTAACGGTCAGTTGATTGGCATCTAAACAGTGTCTCGACAATAAAAGTGTCAGAAAATCTAATATACATACTACGACTGTCAGAACACAGTAAGAATCCCGTATAGAACATTTTAGAAAATTGCTTGAATAACTAAAATCATTCATTATTTTGTTCTTATATGGAAAATAAATTAATTATGTGTTAAAAGTCAGTGACTTTCCCACCTTATCCATAACAACTCGACACCACAAACATAATGCCAATGGGCAACTAAAACAAGGCGAGAATAGAGACAAAATCTCGTAACCGATCAGCTGCATGATCACATGATCGAGTAATTTACAGAGCAGAATTCATCAAAAGCGCGTGACATAACACCATTTGCACGTGATATTACAGAAAATATAGATTCCTTCCAGAGACAAAATCAATTGTTAATCAATATCAATTTAATAATAACATTAATGTTATTCCATTCAAAATAAGATATAGAGGCACCTCAAGCAAGCATTCAATTTTTCATGAGGAAAAAGGTAACCCTAGAGAGCTTCAAAACTAAGACCACCAACCTGGTGAAAACCAGGCGGCAAGCTACAAATCGTCTGAAACACAGTAGGGCAACCTTCAACCGGTGTCATCGGCCATTGTGTCCACCTATAAAACAAAATAATAAATATACATCAACCATACAAGTAGCTTAACACAAACACCTCAAATAACAAAAAAAAAATAGGATTCTACAAGATAAAACAAATTAGAAAAATGAACAAATATATAAAAATGAAACATCAATACGACAAAAACTCTCACCCTGTAAATGAGCCGGCGATATACACAATTCTGCCACCATAAGGCCACACAAACCTCGTCGGAACCAACACCATCCCAGCTTCGCGAGGAAAGTCCATACCAGCAGGATACATGCATTCACTCCTTGAAAAATTCTAAATGCCCCCGAAAAAAAAATCCTAAGAATAACTCTCAATCACTTGCGAAAAAACATTTCAACAGCATCAACGAAAAATCAAGCAACAATTGCGAAACCCAGCAAACGTTTAACAAAAAAGAAAAAAAAAAATCACGATGAAAATTCAATGGGGATTATCCAGTAACTTCCAAGACCAGAATTTGACAGAAAAAACTCAATAATCTAGCTAAATCTAGGATGCCCTAATTTTACCTACAAGCTCATGACCCCCAAAACTATGAACGGCACAGAACTCCAAAAATCTTCTAATTAGGCGTCAAATGCAAAGCACAGAGCACCAAAATGGATGCTTTCTGACGAATCGAAGAGCTCTGGGAGCACTTGAACATGAAATTGCAATGGAGAAATATATCTCCAGAGAGGAAACTGA